ATTTATATATTGTAGTTTATATCAGTTTGTAATTTAAATATTAACGAAGTAACATTATAGAGCTGACATTTTATAAAATAAGAGTGACCGATGACTTAACCCTATGAATATTCCTACTTAATGATGCTTAAACTTGGATCCTTTTAGTAATATTTCAGGCGCTAATAACTCGTGAAAGGGTAAGATTTATTACTGACATTTTTGCATCCGATGCCCATGGTTTGATGGGATTTTTGAGTGGTAATTAATTACTTTGGTAATATTTAGTGATAGTAATTTAGATAGATAGATAGATATTAAATTTATTGCCAACATAATTGTATACACAATTTCTATTAAAGTATCAGATTTTTATCAGAAAGTTATGTCAATCAACAGATTGAATTGCTTTAATAGATTATACATCTGCAATATCTAAGGTTGCCTGGAAGAAATCGCTATTTAGCGATAAGGCCGCCCATTGTTACCTCTATATTATAATTATTTTGTTATTATTTTCATATTTAATGTACATATTAATTTATGTAATTACTCTTTCTGTGAGAGGAACAATAAAGTGTTTTTCATTCATTCATTTCATTCAATATCGTTGTGAGTCTATATATATAATATAATAATTTAAATAGACAAACATGAATACATACAAATAGCTTTATGATATTTAAGAACGAACAATTATTTATGAGGTTGAATGGCTTATACCAACAAACAATTGATTATTTTTTATATTCATTAACATTAGTTATTACTGCGGTTTAAGGTGTGAAGCATCAGTCCACCAGATATTTAAATTACAGTTCACTACCATATCTCAACTTTGAACTTGTAGGACTGGTGTGCCCTAATCGCTACGACTGATTTAACCTTATAGTCTATTCAATATTTTGACCTTAATAAATTAGTGCTAGTTGGTAGTTTGTATTCACACATTTCGATTTAAAAATGTATAGTTACAACGATTATTTAAAAGAACAACTCGCAAGTTTCTAGCTTGGTCTTCTTGTGATGAGACAGCTTTCCAAATTAGCGATAGATTAAAAAAATAACTATGACTATTCAAAAATTAAGTATATTTGAAGAAAATATTTTCTATTCTATTCTATAATCTGTGTAAATATCTCTTATAAATTGGTATCAGGTGTGGAATGATTTCGCTTTGGACTGTATATCGTGTATGTATATATAAGTCGCAAAGTATAAAATGTACTTTATACAGGCTGATGTAATTTTAACTTATTATTACTCTTAAGTTTTCACAGAATATTTTTGAATATTGAATTCTGAACAACATATTTAAATGTCGCATGCCTAATGCTTGTCAATGTATATTTACTTTATTTAGAAGTATTGTAAAACTTTTATTTAAAAGAGCAGCACGCAAATTTCTTGTACATTCTTTTTCTGATTAGTCTGCGTTCTGAATGGATGGTAGAATAAAATTCTTGTTACTATCTACAAGTCGTCGCTTAAATAGAAAAATGGCAGTAAAAAAAAAATCCGCAGCGGAAATGTCTGAAACGGACGACTTCCTACAAAGTCGTACTCAGTAAAAAGGTTCAATATTAAATTAAATGGAGACATAAAAGCCTCTTACTTCGAGAAGTATTAAAATACCTAATCCTTGGCGTGTTTTGGCACAGTATTCATAATATTCACATTTATTACCATCCCGTAGAGCACTAATAAACTTCCGATTCAAGATTTATATTAAAATTCAAAGGGAACTCAATGAAGATTTTCATAGGATACGTTAAAATCTGTTTCTATACCTTCGCTTTTTGGGTACGTCCCAATTTATAAGATGTAGCGATTATGAGCGTTATCGAATTACAAGAAACTTATACACACACCACGTGACCATAGTTAGTGCAACCTAGTCGAAACGTCGCGAGGTTAACCTTTATTATAAGATTATTCATGTTAAAACACATGTAACTATGTTAATAATCTAATTTGAATTAAATGTATTAGAAACACAAAAAAATTATTAACATAATCTTTATTATTCCTGTCAAATGCTCTTTTTTAAATCTACAGTTACAAAAGCACTCATAATAGTACAGGATCTCGATTAGTATTGTGCATATAAATATATAAAATTACATAAGTCGTAATTTATATACATACTTAATTTAATTAATTAATAATTTGTTGTTGGTAACATAGTAAAGTAATTATAAAATAATCTTTACATGAAATAAATAAAATCGGTTCCGCTATCTTTTCGGTTAGATCTTTTAAACTACGCAACGGATTTTAATGAAATTTTTAGTAATAGATAAAGTGATTCAAGAGGAGAGTTTATATGTATATTATGTGTATACACGTGCGAAGTTAGTAATGTTACAAAATGAAATCGCACAGCGCCAGCTAGTCCCACGCTAAGGAGAGCCTGTGTTATGTTTAATACTAGCTGTTCCCGCGACTTCGTCCGTGTGGAATTTAACTTTATTTTTCTAAAATAAAATTAGCTTAAGTTACTCTTTATTACATCAGTTACCTGCCAAAAAAAGTCCCGTTAAAATCGGTCCAGCCATTTCAAAGATTAGCTGGAACAAACAGACCGACAGACAGACAGACAAAATTTGAAAAAAATGTTTTTTCGGTGTATGTACCGTATTTCTATTCATATATACTACATGCATATGAATAGAAAAACTGTTATTTCAGTATTACAAACAGATACTCCAATTTTATATACATGTATATTTAATATCAATAAGTGTATGACTTGCACCGCACAATAAGTCCGTTGGGACTGCAATAACAAGTCCATAAACCGTTTTTACTGCCTTTGTTCAAGTAAATGTATGTACGTTTTGACTTTTTAAACAATGACCGTATTTTTCTACGGCTATACCGATAATTCTGACTGTAGACCACTGCACTAGATAGGGTTTTGAAAAGAATTTTCATCAAATAAAAGTCACGTAAATTCACGATTGCAGCCCTAAATGAAGAAGAATTTGTTTGAATGAGTCACTTTTCTTAGAGCTATCTTATTATAGTGAATATGTTTTATGATGTTTAACGGATAGTATGTGAGTTTTAGAACACAGTTACTTTATACTTGCAATTAATTAAGATCAGTAAAACAAATATAAAAACCATCCTCTGGAATCACTCTATCTATTAAAAAAAACGGCTTCAAAATCAGGATCGTAGTTTTAAAGATTTAAGCATATATAGGGACAGACAGCGACAGCTGCTTTGTTTTATACTATGTAATGATGATTGAAGTGTGAGTACTTATATTTATTTATATTACAAATATTTCGGAGTATAATTAATATAAAAAAAAATTGATAGCCATAGCAAATAAATGCTTAATAAAATAAAATAAAAATAAATTTCAATAAAAAATATAACCTACGTGTTATTCTGATATATAAGCTAGATTACTGTAAAGCTTCATCAAAATCAGTTCAGTAGTTTTTGAGTGAAGGAGTAACAAATATCCCTACTTACAAACTTTCGCGTTAATAATATTACTAGTTGCGCGGGCGCACTTCCTGCGCATGTTATAGTGACCTTGACCAAAAAAATAATATTCAATACTTATAATTATTACATTTAATTTAATGTGATAATATAAATATAATTATTATATTAATTATGGGCATTATACTTAATACATAAAAATAAAATATATCGATATTTCCATACAACACTAATTCCCCTTTCAACCTCTTACAACCCTTTTCTTTATTTATATTCAATTAATACCCTTCAAATCAGTTTTAACCTTCTAGCTTTAAAAATGATAATGTTTTCATATAAACTTTCATCTCCTGTTTCAACCCCTTACAACCCTTTTTCGCATTAAAATGTAGCTTATATCTTTTCTCAGGATCTAGACTGTGTACCAAATTTCATATAAATCGGTTCAGTAGTTTTGGCGTGAAAGCGAGACAGACAGAGTTACTTTCGCATTTATAATAGTAATATACTAAGGACTAAGATTAAGATATATTTAATTAAACGACTCAATTATTTGTATCGTAAAGAATAACTTTATATGGCATTTGTGAAAAATAAAGATGAAACGTTTTAACCAATTACCTGGTCATTCCACTGGCATCAATTGTTGGATCCTGGAAGTGGGTCATGCTGCAGTCTCCAGACACCTGATATTATCCTATTGTTCACAAAATTGACACCCACGCGACTTGCACCTAATTTGTCACATTATGTCCATAGAGTTAACAATGTTACAGAGTAGCAGAATATTTAAATTTATTTGCGAATTGACTGAAATATATCATTGGAAAATAGAAAGAAAAAGAAATGAAAATTGCATAACCATAATACTGCCTTTATTTTATTTTTTAATGAATTATATTTTATTATTATAAAAATATCAAAATAAATAAAATATAGTGTGTATTACACTGTTTTATTTTAAACTATTTATTTATTTCGAAAAAAGATATTATAAACTATTACACTTAGATTGTACAATGAACTGCCTACCGAAGTTTTCTCCAGAGACTAGAGCATAGGGTTTTTTAAATATGGTTAAGCTTTCTTAAGGGTTGGCAAAGTGCACGTGATACACCTGGTTTTTCAGGCGTCCACAGGCTATAGTAACCCTTTACCATCAGATGGGCCGTATGCTTGTTTTAAGTACAAAAAAATATGAGAGAAAAACCTTTGTTAAATAATAAATAAATAAATAATCAGAACAGAGCTTGTGTTATAGGTACTAGACAACTGATATAAATAATTGGATTTTTTTTGTAAATAATATACATATAAAACACCCAGACCGATACAAACAAATACTCATGAATACAAATGTTTGTACCGTGTGAGGATCGAACCCGCGACCATCGGAAGTAAAGCGGTGTGCTAAACCACTAGACGACCGAGGTCGTCATAAAAATATTTAATCGAGTTAAAATATTTCTTTTTATTTTCACTGCCCGCTCTAACACTTTGTTATGATAATTCTCTTCCCAAATATTCCACAGGGAAACGTTTCAGTCTTATATGTTCATCGCATCACAAAACATGTCCACGTTACTAATATTCCTGCTAGTTATCGCTGTAACGAAATCTGAAAGTAACGTTTCAAACTGCAATGGTTTTACGGCAAATTTTCATTTAAAAAGTATAACTGGTCCGTGGCAAGTAGTTGCTATTATACCGGAGAAATTGTTTCCGGATAAAGATGTCGCTTGTTTTAAAGTGGAGTTCAGTGAAACAGATGAGGTAAGAATATTTTTTTCTTATTGGAACCGCAAACTATATGATGATAACGCTACCATTACGTATATATAATATATATATATATATATATATATATATATACATTGTGAGACACGTAGTACGCCTCTACTTTGTCATTACTGAGAACTAAGATATCATAAAGACAGATTTACGAAACAACATCCAATCATTACATAGTATAAAATAAAGTCGCTGTCGCTGTCTGTCCCTATGTATGCTTAAATCTTTAAAACTACGCAACGGATTTTGAAGCGGTTTTTTTAATAGATAGAGTGATTCAAGAGCTACCTCATGAATTACTCTATCTATTAAAAAAACCGTTTATATATATAATACATGTACACCCGTGCGAAGCCGGGGCGAGTAGCTAGTATAATATATAATAACAATATCTCAGGATAATTCTCACAGCGCCATCTAGCTCAAACTAAGCTGAGCTTAAAAGCTTATAATACATAAGTACTGGATAACTGATTATATATAAGAAAATAATTCATTTTATATAGCAATTAAAGAGAATTATTTTTTTGTTAACTCTACAATCTTCTAAAATATTTTGGCTTGACTAGAAACTGCACTAGCAGACTCCTACCAGATTTCGCTAGGCAGGGAGAGAAATACGAGCGGTAAAGGTGAGTGTTGACATACCTCGTCAAGGGTTCTTTAAACCTACACCCGAGTCACAAGTAGCGGAAACCGACATAACAACTGATAACCCGATTGCTAGCAATTGCTAGCAATCGGGTTATCAGTCCACATTTTTTTATTTTTTTTTTTATTGGGTTGTTTGGGCTATTGTCAGATGTGTAGCACCTGTAGCACTGCGACCTACATAGATCTATTGTGCTCGCCCTTTTCAGAGTTCGCTACCTAGACCCGTCAGGGACAAGAATTGAAGGATATTCTTAGGAGCGATCGTTTTTATCTCCTCGGGAAAGAGTGTAAACTTTCCAAAGGAGATATTTCGTTTATGCATGAGTGGGCTACAACCACATAGGATGTGAAGCGGCGTTTCCTCTTCAGTTTGGCAGAATCTGCAGATACTTGTCGTGCATAGGCCTAGCTTAGCCATATGCTTGTTCAATTTGCAGTGTCCTGTGAGGGCCCTAGTCATCATGCATATGTTGTTTTTACTCAATAGCAGTAGTCTATTGGAGTATTTGGTCGAGAAGCCCGATATTAGGTCTTTTGAATGCATTAATCCTGGCATTTCTTGCCAATGATTCAGTGCTACTCGTTTGGTTATTAATTTGAGATGTCCCAGTTTTAGGCAACGAGGCACACCACAGAAGGGTTCGGGGCCCAGTTGGACGGTTTTTGCCCCTAACTTTGCCAGATGGTCGGCATTCTCATTGCCTTCAATATTTGAATGCCCGGGGACCCATCTCAGTATAATATTATTTCTGCTTCCTACTTCATTTAGTAGCAGGATACAGTTTCTAATAAGTTTAGAACGGATTTCGTACGAGTTAAGTGCTAGTAGAGCAGCTTGACTGTCCGAATAAACGTATATGTTCTGATTGATGTAGTAGTCAGGTCCACATTACTAACAATTCCCTTCCTCTCAACCGCTTGGAGTTTCCCTCTTTACCACACGATGCTATATTACTAACAATTCCCTACCTCTCCTCGGAGTTTCTCTCTACGATGGACCCTGCATCCTCGCGCCCCCAACTGCTCGATTCCCCTTTCTACCGTATGGTATCATCATCATATGATCATACCACGGGCCCGGCATCTCACCGGTGAATTCATGGAATGTTAAGAAGTTCATCTCTGTTCAGGGAGGATTGCGGTGGCTGGTGAACAAGACCTTAAGCATGCCTCACAAGATGAGACTGGAGACCATCAAAGGTCCCATAGTTCGGCAGCGTTACCACGCCGACCATCCATTCGATGTGTGGTCCAGATCAGTTGAAGATGTGAATGGATGTTTTCAACAAGTACTATCATTGGATACTGATAAGAGTGATCTATGTAAGTAATTTTTTTTCTTTTTCTTCAGAAGTGTTAGGATGTGCTTCTAGGCTCCTAGGTCTTACGCTTGCTTGTTGGTGTGTTTGTTTTTCTTTTCCTAGGAGCCAGTTACACTTACCAATATGCATATACAATTATATAAATCTTATATTACTACTAATTTCACAGTTTACTAGTTTAGTTAAGTTAATTTAGTTAAAAAAATCGTAATAAAGATAGGTGACACTGCATGTTGTCAACTCACCCGGCCGGCCAGCGGTGGTTCTGGGCCAGACGGATAAGGTCTGCCTCGGTGCCACTGTTAGGTAAATTGTAACATCTCGGCTGGAGGCTCCTCTGTAGTTTTACAAAAGTGGAAATTAAAGAAATATAATCATATTAAAGTAAATTAAAAAAAGACACAGACAATTTTATTTTATTTAAAAAAAAAAAAAAATTTGTATCTTAACATAATAAAGTTCGTTATTTCTTTTACATCAATTCTAAAAATTGAAATTGAAATGGTATGTATACGTTTACCATTGGTATGTATAATAATAATAATCATCTCTTCTCCTTAAGAGGGGAGATGAGAATTTTTGGGAAAAAAAAAATAATAATAATATTTCAGGACATTTCACACAGCGCCATCTAGTCCTAAGCTAAGCAGAGCTTGTGTTATGGGTACTAGACAACTGATATAAATACATAGATACATTTATTTTGTAAATAAATACATATTATACATAGAAAACACCCAGACCGATACAAACAATCATACTCATGAATACAAAATGTTTGTACCGTGCGAGGAACCGAACCCACGACCATCAGTTAGTAAAGCGCTATGTTAAACCACTAGACCACCGAGGCTGTGAAATAAGCATTAGTCCTTTATGTAATTTCAAAGTACTAGACGAATGATAGAAAATATTCAACGACACATTTTTTTGTAAACACATAAATATTATACTTAGAAAGTACTCTTACTAAAGTAATAATCGAGGAAATCGAACCCGTGACTCGAATCATAAAGCAATTTTAAATTCCGGCAAGCATTCATGCCACATTGCATTCAACGGAATTTGAAATTGCTTTATATAGAGCATACTTTTCGTCTCATTTTTCGATTGCATTTTGTTTGTTATCGGTGTTTTTATCACCAGAGATTTAGTCAAGAATATAAATCACTCAAAGTTTTCTGTTCGGAAAGTCAGGGTAGTAATATGTATTTGTTTATATTCATTGTATGTTTTTATTTATAATATTTGTAATTTTATTACAGATAAAGCAGTAACGCATGATGTCATGATGCAGTTACACCAGTTGGATGCAGCGGACGGGTCTGAACCGTTTCTGGTGCAGATGCTGTGGGGAAGGATGATCGCAGCTGTCATATACCGCAGACAACCAGTTAGTGTTAATTGTCTTCAACCCATTTATTATTTTTTTTTTATTTATAACACTTTATTGCACCAACATATAAAGAACATTAATAAAATAAAACTAAGTACAAAAGGCGGCCATATCGCTCTTACAGACAACCTTCAGTGTCTCACGGTTTTAACATTTCTTTTCAAAACTAATTGACGTCGGTCGTCTAGAGGTTTAGCACACTGTTTAACTTCTCATAGTTGCGGCTTCGATTCCTCGCTCTGTGCAAACATTTGTATTCATGAGTAAGATTGTTTGTATTGATCTGGATGTTTTCTTTTCTATGCAACGTATATAAATTAAGTATTTAGGTCAGTTGTCAAGTACCAATAACACAAGCTCTACTTACCTTTGTACTATATGACGCTGTGTAGATTAGATTTGTTATTCTGTCTGTCCTTATCTTATTATCACCTTATCACGACTACACTGAAAGGATCTTAATAAAATTTAATATGAATATTGTTTAATTATACATGTATTCAATATTGCGAAACATGTTGTTTGTAAATTTTATTAGACAAACGTTTTAAATAAATAAATAAAATAAAAATGTTTCTCTGAATGAGGCGTTATCAGGCATTGAATAGACTGACTCAGTCGCAATTTGGTCTTGGAACAGTCAACCATAGGCTACCATAATGACTGATGATACCACATTCAGAGGCGAAACACGTGTCGCAATATGAATGTAGACACAACAACGGTCGGAATTTGATCATCAATAGAGAAGGTCGTAACGCTTCCAATATGAATGGCCAGGTTTCCGCACTGAATGTTTAAGGTCTCACACATGCTAATGGTACAGGAATTAAACAAATATAAATTAAGTAATAAAATAAACTTCCGGAAACTAATACCTAATACCATAAAATGTCATAATCTAATTATACGTAGAATAAAATACGACGTGGTTGCTATGGGCCTCATAAATAAACTCAAAGTCACTCAGAGGGCAATGGCTATGCTTGGAGCATTCTCTGCGTGATCACATCAAAAATGAGGAGGTCCGCAGAAGAACCAGACTGACCCATATAGCCCGAAGAATTGAGTACTGAAGTGGCAATGGGCAATGCACATAGCTTGTAGGACGGCCGTTGGGGCAGTAAAATCAGTATAGTAATGGTCGTTGGGGCAGTGAAGTCCTCGAGTGGCGTCCTCGAGGACTGACGATCTGGTCAAGATCGCTGGAAGGCATTGGTTGCGAGGACCGATCGTCGAGATTTTTGTGGGAGGCATTTGTTCAGCAGTGGACGCCTTCCGAGCTGATGATGATGATGACAATAGAACATGTTTTTCCAGTTTTGCCTAGCATTCGAATTTAAAATTTATATTAAATTATACATTTATTTCATTTTACAAAGAATTAATAAAATATATTTATAATTTCAGGGTGTAACGCAAGATCAACTAAAGCCAGTTTTCGAGCTGATGTCGAAGTTGCGAGGACCCCAGCGGGTGCCTAGAATTTGTGAACTGCAACATGATTTTCTAGTTAGGAAACGTCATTGAAGTGACACCATAGTCAGTTGTACTACTCCTATTATTAAATAAAGGTCTCCAAAATATTTCGTAGTGATTATTAAAAAACCAAAAAAATTGATTTAGTAAACTTATACACTTTGATTGTGGAATGCACTACCTGCCGGGGGTTTCTCAAAAGACTACTGCATGGGTTTTTCAAGAACCTTAATATATTATTAAGGTTTATTTAGGGTGTTCCTGAAAACCCAAAAAACTTAATTTAATAAATTTATATAATTAGATTGTGGAATTCACTACCCGATGAGCTTCCTCGAGAGACGGGCATTTTTCAAGCTTGGGGTTTTTCAAGAACAAGATGTTAGGGTTTATTTACGGTAGGCATCGCGCATGTGACACCTCTGATCTTTAAGGAACCCATAGGCTACTCGTCGTTTACCATAAGATGAGCCGTATGCTTGTTTACCACTTAGGTAGTGTAAAACAAACTTATACACATTTTAGATCAAAATATTTTTATTCTCAAAGTCTAATCTAAACATGTCACTAATAACTCTATTTTTTTTAAATACAATAATGGAATTGGAAGAAACTTAAATTAGCCCAAAAATATACTAATATTATAATAGTCTTTCCGATATTTATTGTAATAAATTAAACCAAAAGATATGTATATTAAATAAAATAAATCAATAAAAAAACATCACACAATCTGCCGTGTATTTGACATGCAAAGTTACATCGCCCGTTCGATCCCGACCTGTCAGAAATGCAAACTCTGTGCGGCCGGACCGTAGCATAGTGTAGTATTGGTACACTGACCACGACAATCTACCTGTCCGAGAGTAACGTACCGTGCGAGGAATCGAACCCGCGACCACCGAATGTAAATCGGTGTGCTAAACCACTAGACAACCGGGGGCGTCAAAATATAATATCTTCCAGTATACAATAACAAATAACAATTTAATGTAATAACGACAATCCTATAATGCTCGTATCTCGACAATCTAAATACATCCATTATTGGGTGTGTATGTCTGTCTGTTCGGCGCACCTCCTGAACTATATAAATCGCATTTAAATTCCCGCAGTGGATGGCGGTGGTAATAAACAGGTGCAGTTATGCGCTGTCCGTTATTTGTTATGTTTTGTAGGGTGACCATGCTGTGACAATAATCTAGGACATTTATAAACCGTTATAAGATATATATTATATTGGTATTGTTGTAGATGTTGTATGTACCACGGTATATGTGATCCTGTCGGTATCCTGTATATCATCATCATCATCATCACAGATATCATCCTGTATCTGATGCTGTATCATCGCCAGCAAATTTTTGTTTTCATTGTACAGTAGAAGATAAGATCAGTAATAAGATACGCTGGGACTGGCATTATCATATTATGATAAAACTCCCTAAGTAAATATAAGAATTATATATATATATATACATATATAATACCAAAGCTTGCTTTGTACCAATAAATAGGTAATATAGTATAAATAGGTATATGCAAACGGTGCAATTTATTTAGTTTATAAATAAAATAACTAAATAAATAGCGCTGGACAATTAACAGCGCTATCTAGTCCCACGGTGTGCAGAGCTTGTATTATGTGTACTAGACAACTGATATAAATACTTCGTAAATACATACATATTATACACAGAAAACACCCAAATCGATACATACAATCATACTCATGAATACAAATGTTTGTACCGTGCGAGGAATCGAACTAATTTATAAGCTTATATAATTATAATAGCAAAAGTTGCTTTGTATTTATGTTAATAAATATGTTATATATATATAAATATATGTATATATATTGGTCACCTATAATTATTGCCTACGCCGAGATACAACTAAGTATATTAACTAGAACAGTGCCACTAGGCAGGAATACTGACCAAGCTCAACGTGCCTAGCCACGACGTCTTCATGTTAATTATTAATGAATGAATGAATGAATTATTCTATGAATATATACACTCGCGTGCAACCAAATCGACTCAAGCGCTACCTCTAATGTTGTATAATTTCATTTAATACAAAGTTTGAATGCAGAGGTATCGCTTGAGTTGATTTGGTTGCTCGCGAGTGTTATTATACACTTTCATTCATTATTCATTCATTTATTCATTCATATATTGTATTAATTATTCATGGTTAAGAAAGGTGGTGTGGTAAACAGCATGGCAATCAAGGTAGTCAATATGATCTTGAGTATTTTTTTAATTTTTTTATTAGTCCTAAAAAACCATGTTATTTTTTTAAAGGACGATAATAGAATGGTGCACCCGCCTGCGCTAACGGTTTACGCTGGCGGGCACCAGTGGAGGATGATAAGATGAACATGAAGTCAGATCAGTTAGCCCAACGTGACAAATTCACCGGGAATGTATCACGATGGTTTCCAGGGGGAACCGCGTGGAGGTCGATCTGACATGGTGCATTGTTAGCAATGGGATCATTAGTCCACTAACAACCCCCTTCCCCCTAAACCCATATATTAGAATTATCATCGAGTTAATAATTTAAAATTATAAAAAAAATACGGACACAATACAGATAATTACAGGATTAAACAAAAATATATCCTGTTTTTTTTTAAGGAAAAGTTGGTGTACTTACACGCATCTAGGTGATGAATGCAATCGCTAGATCGGAGTTAGCTGACATTTTATAAATCCTTAAAGCGCTTTTATCGCTTTATAGTATCGCGTAATATAAAACAAAGTCGCTGGCGCTGTTTTAAATCTTTAAAACTACGCAACGGATTTTGAAGCGGTTTTTTTAATAGATAGAGTGATATTCCAGAGGAATATTTATGAGTATAATACATGGTGTACGTGCAAAGCCGGGGCTAATAGCTAGTCATAGTATAAAACAAAGTCGCTGTCGCTGTCTATCCGTCTCTATGTACGCATAAATCTTTAAAACTACGCAACGGATTTTGAAACGGTTCTTTTAATAGAGTGATTCAACAGGAAGGTTTATATATATAATACATGTACACCTGTGCGAAGCCGGGGCGAGCTAGTTAGTTAAAGTATATAAAAAAACATAAAAACATTAAAAGAGCTACACGCAAGTTTCTTGCTCGTTCTTCTTGTGATGAGACAGCTCTCCGAACGAGCGGTAGATTAAAAAATGTAATGACTATTCAAAAGTGCTTCAATGTAAGTTTATTTGAATAAATGATTTTCTATTCTATTCTATTCTATTCTATAAACTTTTGTGTAAAAACAAGCGAGTTTCACGTTTCTATTTATTTTGTATACAATACAACCACTTCCGCTTTACAGCGCTGTTTTCGCTGCACACAGCGAGGGTGGCGCGCCCAACATTTTGCAAATGGCATGCAACTGACGTGTGGCTGATAGGTGCATTATGAATCGTATATTTACACCCTCCCTTGATAGCTCGAGTTGCTTAGAATGTTATGGGGTGATTGACCTGTATTTTTTTTATTTAACATCTTTATATACGCTCATACGTCATTTCCGAGAACGAGTGCTGCTTGTAGGAACTGGTCTGCTCTTATCACTACGACTGTCTTATATTATTGTGTTTTTATATTTGAGCCTAAATAAATTAGTGCTGGTTGGTAGTTTGTATTCACACGTTTCGACTTGTAAAATGTGAACTTACAAGGATTGTTTAAAAGAGCAACACACAAGATTCGTGCTCGTTCTTCTTGCGATGAAAAAGCTTTCCAAATGAGCGGTACATTAAAAAATTGTTATGACTATTCAAAAGTGATTAAATTAAGTTTATTTGAATAAAGAATTTTCTATTCTATTCTATTTTAGATATATCCGAAACATATCCATATCCGAAATTTCATATCCATAACATCCCTGAACTATATATTGCTGAATGCAAAGTAATTAATATAATAATACAGATATACATTCATAGATTAGAACGCTCGTATAATGGGATTATAACGCCATGCTTTTACTGCCAAAGCTTTTACCGTTAAAGAAAATGCACTAATCACATCAATACATGACTTAACCAAGCAGTAACTTCAAAGTTAACGGCAATTCCTTGTGAAAGCAGGATTAATAGTACAAATTAACCTGGCAGATGCAGGCACTCTGTTAATTTAACACCTGGATAACCACTTGAAAGGCAAGGGTTAACAATTAATTTTTAATTATTCCACTTACTGTACATTAAGCGAGTAATTTTTGTGTTTGAGTGTACTAGACGAGAGACGAGAAAAATGTTAGAAACTTGATAAGGCGCGATGTTTTTATGAAAATTGTTATTGAGGGAAGTATAGGCGGAAATCATTCGCATGAAATTACTATATGTATTCTGATGTATAAGCTATATTAATGTAAAGTTTCATCAAAATCCGTTCAGTAGTTTTTGCGTGAAAGAAATAGAAATAGAAATAGAAATAATCTTTATTCAAATAAACTCATTACAAGCACTTTTGAATAGTCATATTTTGATTCTACCACTCATTCGGAATACAGATTCATCACAAGAAGAATGAATCACAAAAAGAGTAACAACCATACTCACAAACTTTCGCGTTTATTATTTTATTATTTTGGTCTTTATAAACATTGAATATTATAATTCATTTTATATATATTTATCTATATGTATCTGTAGATTCTGCCAAACTGAAGAGGAAACGCCGCTTCACATCCTATGTGGTTGTAGCCCACTCATGCATAAACGAAATATCTTCTTTGGAAAGTTTACACTCTTTCCCGAGGAGATAAAAACGATCGCTCCTAAGAATATCCTTCAATTCTTGTCCCTGACGGGTCTGGGTAGCGAGCTCTGAAAAGGGCGAGCACAATAGATCTATGTAGGTCGCAGTGCTACAGGTGCTACACATCTAACAATAGCCCAAACAATCCAATAAAAGAAATATATATATATTTAGACTTGTGTATCGTGATCGTATTTAATTTTTTTTTTTTGTTATTTTAAATATAACAAATTTACATATATCTGTATATAGTAAAAAACACGTAATCTTAGTTTTTTAATGAGTAAAGAGGGCTGCCTGAAAATCAGCGCTGTATAGGTG